GAATGAAATCTAATAAACAAACTTGCCTGAAGTGGAACCGCTAAGCTATCAAGGATGAGACAACAGAGATCATTGTGCTTGCTATGCCTGTGGCATTCATTCTTGTTGTATCATTAAATATTCTTATTGAAGTTTGCCTTTGCCCTCAATGATGTTGGTTTTCTTTTGATGACTCTTTGTTTCTCCTCTCTAGCATTCGGCTATATTAGGGCTGGGTCCTGTTTATTTGGCCAAATTAGTGTAATGGATCAACCCAGGGCCCCAGCTCCAAGAAGAGCCGTACAATTTGAATCCATCTATTATTGGTAACCATTTGAGATAGAATAACTTGAGTTTCGAGTCAAAATAATTCTTGATGAGGCCACGTTCCTGGATTAAGACTTCAGTATGTGCCACATGTTAGGAACTGTATATCATTTTTTTCCTGTTTTTTATGCATACTTCTTGTTAAACATTAAGCTGTCTTGCCAAAAGGTAGCCCCGCTATAAAGCATACCCTGCTTTTTGCCTATTTTTCTCTAAACCAGGCCATTATTTCCTAAATGAACAACACGTTGTATTGAAAAAGACTTGAAACCAGTCATGAGACCATGAAGTAAGAAGGAGTAGTACTTTTTTCATAGACTTCTATACAATGAGAATTGTTGCATTAATGACTAATGAGTGACAGCCACACTTACAAGTGGCTCCTGTTAGATGATGATAAGTGTTGAAGGATGTCAGTTGCAATCTTAGTGGGCATGGCAGTTGTGACGATGACAATACACAGAAGACATGGCAATTTATCAAATCGTCACCCATCATTAGGCCTTGATTATTATAAAAAGGTTTAAGTGTGTGTGTGTGTGTGTGTGTGTGTGTGTGTGTGTGTGTGTGTGTGTGTGTGTGTGTCCTGTTAAACCACCTTTACCCATATAGTTGTGTGTGTGCAGAGCCAATAGGGGACATTTCGGACTTCCTATGTTGCATTTAATCATGCTTAAACTCCCTGGTGAATTCACTTTAATTGTAGCCAAGAGGGGACCTGAGCTCTACCTCTTCAGGGTAGAGAAGGGATTTGGGCTCACTAATACAAGTTTTCCACACTTCTCCCCAGGCAAGCATTAAAACTCGGGGAAGCTTTTAAACAGGTTACATACTGAAGGAACCCAAATTCTTAAACATTACTTTTTTGAAGAAGAAGAAATGACCTAACTTTAGTGGATGTCAAGTGGAAGCTCAACTCTGTCCACTCCCTGAATGACTAGTAAGAAGGCAGGGGAATAAAAAGTACTTTTTATTTTAAAATGAAAAGAAGAAAACATTTAGGATGAAATTTACAAATAAACGTTTCCGGCAGTCAGATCCTTTCTTTGAATCAATCAAATATAAATCTAACTTCAAGGCAAAAACCAGGTCTGAAAAGTAAAGTCAATGCTGTATCGCCTGAAAGTTGTGTTGCCTGCAAAATTAGGTCCAGTTATAGAGAAATCTATGAAGTATTAACTCACATCTCACTTGATTTTTCACCTTGGTAAACAAGACAATTTCTTGACTTGAAGATATTTCCATCACAATTGCCAGTTTCACATCTTCTTCAATGTAGCATGATGTTCATTTTGAAAATGATTGTCACATTTAGAGTAAAATGGACGAAAAGGCAGCGAATGCTTGGTGACGTGTCTAACATTTGATTGACAGGTTGCTTCACAGTGTTTTGGATGCTCTCCGTGTTTTTCATATTAGAAATGCTATTCTTTTACAGTGTGTTTCCAGTTAATGAAAGTCTAATTGACTAGGTCCACTTCTAGTATAGAGTCTATGCTAACATCAGCCTTTTACTAGACCATTTTCAGTCCAAAAACAGCTCTCAAAAGCCTCAATCTACTTGTAATGGAATGCAATTTCTTTGTTGATGCTCATTACATAAAAAAAGGTCTTCAATTTAACAGGCTGACAGCAGTCCCTTGTTTGCAAAGCGAATAATGACACAAGTTCCCTCTTAGATAGCCCAAAGCAATATTCTCTCAATTATGAATAAATAAAAAAGGCTATAAACAGTGAGCGGGAGGGATGCCATGGTAAGTAGTCTGTTTATGTGATATTACACTAAACAGAGTTAGGACACAGACACATTTCTAAAAGTGCATCAGTGTCCAAAACTTCATCCATTTTTTATATAATCCACAGAGACATTAACAATTCATAGATGGGTTACAAATCAAAGCAGAACAAAAAAAGATTGCTCCATGAGTTGTACTCTTCTTTGCTCCAGCCTGTTTGGGTGTGTATGTTGGGCCAAGAGAACGTGTTCTAAAAAGATAGTTAAGTATTTTCACTGCGTTATTGTGTTTGTTCTCAATGTGTTCTAATGCAGTATTGATTAAGAGTAGCCTGGGAACCAAAGGGTTGCTGGTTCAGATCTCTACGAATTACGCAAAGTGGACTGGAAGCTGAAGAGGTGCCAGTTCACCTCCTGAGGAATGCCATTGCCCTTAAGCATGGCGCATGACCAGTGGTGTAGTGGGGATTTTTTTACTGGGTGGACGGGGCGGGGGGAGACACTATGGACGCGCTCGTGAGGGGTGGGGGGGGTGGTACACTGTGGACCTCTGTGTCGCCTGTCAGCTCAACATGATGCCGTTTAAACAATATAATAATAAAGGGCGGTGCCGGCCATCAGCGAACCGATCCGGCCTTTCTGCGCGACTGTCACTCAAATGCGGGACATAGTCTCAATTTGTGGGACGCGGGACAAATAATACAAATGCTGTGTGCAGTCCCGCACACAGCGGGACACCTGGTCACCCTACACACACACACACACGCTTCAAATCAAGTTGCATAAATGCTTGAGCTACGTTTTTATTATAATTACTGTGAAATCTGCCTATTATGTTTTTGTCAGTATTACAACAAATACACACTTGCAACTGATAACACTGGCAATGATTTTATATTTATTAGACTGTTAAAAAAAAATCATGCTTCAAATAAGTGGGGGTACGGCGTCCAACGCCCACTACACCACTGCGCATGACCCCAAACTTCTTGAGGTGCCTGTTCATGGGCAGCCCCCCCCCCCCCCCCCCTCACTCTGACATCTCTCCATTATGCATACATGGGTTGATTAGGCCTGTGTCTAATGCGTAAAAATAACAACAGACTAAAAACAATTTCATTTCCCCTCGGGGATCAATAAATTGTGTCTTCATATTATTTTTTATTTATAAGCAAACACAACTTTAAAAACACTTGACCTCCACGCTTTGCTGCCATCCTGCCTTTCCTGCCTTTACTCCGAGCTTTCTCTATCTAATAAAGCAGAAATTCTAACAGTAAAAACACTAGATGTTTACTTCCTTTCAAGTGTCAGTCACTCTGCCTTTGAAAACTCTGTATTTCAGTTCTCTCATCTTTAACTGATTTTTCTTGTGGGAAAGGTTTCTGTTTCTGTATGTGCACTGCTTTGATTGTCGTGTTTCACACATGCAACCACCCCCACCCACCCACCCACCCACCCACCCACACACACACACACACACACACACACACACACACACACACACACACACACACACACACACACACACACACACACACACACACACACACACACACACACACACACACACACACACACACACACACACACACACACACACCAACCTTCACTATCTTATTTACAAGATGGGACATTATGACAACCAAGAGTAGCTGTTTAAAATCCCTAACTGCACGACATCTTAAAATAGTTTTTGCCTTCAGCAGTTAGTTAATTAAATGCAACAGCAGAAACTTAACACCCATAATATAACACAGAGCCCGTAGTAATCGGCAAGAGAAGAACAAATACTTATTACTGTAAGAGATGATCAAATCTTGAATAAAAAGGTTACATTGCAGTCATTTATGTGAGCAACTGGATGGTGAATTTAATCTCTGCTGCCTGTTATTGTTTGTGGTGAAAACACGATGGGAATTCGTACGACACAATCACATTTCTTTTCTCAGGCTTTTACTGATTGATTTATCTGGTCTGCTGTGGTTCAGTAGGAGATATCACGCTCACTGAGGTAGAATAGTGAGGGCTACATTTTCTCACCAGTAGAAGCTGCAATAACTAGCTGAGCAAGCAGAGGGCACACGATACCGATACCGGTGCTTTGTTGGATTCTCCAATAACATGTTCCACACAAACACTGAATGAGAGTTTCTGCTATCACAGATCAGACAGGATATATGCAGTACACTTGTAGCTAGATTTTCTAATTAGTTGCCATTTCAAAAAACAATCGTGCTGAGATGCTTTTTAAGTAGATATATTAAATCATGATGAGCGTCTAACAATCATGTTACTTGTTAGACGCTTTTATCCAAAGCGACTTACACACTCAATACTGTGTCCAATCCCCACAGCAGCAATTTGGGGTGAAGTGTCTTGCCCAGGGACACAATGACATGCTGACTGCAGTGAGGTTTGCACCTGTGCCCCCCTGATCCGAACACCAACGCACTACTCCACTACGCCACACGCCTCCCTAAGATCTGAGTTACGGCACCAGCTTAGTACACTTCTTCTATTTACCGCACCCAAAATAAACTACAGGAAACACAAAATGTATCACTTCCTGAGCTCCACTAAATAAAGTATTTTGAGTTGAAAACACTTCAATGCTTAGAGTCATGAAGGCCTGAAATATTAAAATTTGAGAAATTAGGATCATTTATGTTTGTATCTGAGCAGGAAAATTGAAATGAAGAATGTGTTTCAGAGAGTCCTGTCCAGAGGGAAAACCATAGGCGAGGTACAGTAACTGACATACATGTTAATGCTTCAAAAATTGCAATTAAGTTAGGTGTAATGTGAGTGATAGAGAACAGAAAGACCTTAGATATGAAAGTCATCTATTTGTTATGTTTATATAAATATTGTTTGGATGCTGCATTCACAAAAGCACAAATGTCTTCAATAAGGCCTACTGCTGATTTATATATTTCCCACTAATGACACAAAAACATTTTTGAAGTTGCTTCAAATGTTCATTATTTATTCAACACCAAATATTAACTTGTTAGACTTAGAGCAGGCAAAGAGACAGTCACAGTCTGGATTCTTTAAGAAACAAATTTACATTACAAAAGACTTAAGTATTAAAACATCCAAAATAAATACATAGAATAATTTTTTCCAGTGCTTTTACACGAATCATAGCCTACCTCTTTAAAAAATGATACAAAACAGTGTAGCATTGGAGAAAGAGGTCAAAAAAAGGTTATTTCTTAGGATAAGACCAAAAAAAAGCTTCATATATTAATATTTTGTGGTCGTTGCGGGAATCTTCAGAACCTGCAGCAGAAGCCGCAGCCCTTGTTGCCCTTGCAGCAGTTGCAGCACCAGCGACACAGGGAGAGGTGGCTCTGCCGCTTCTGCCTGATGTGATTTGGCATCTGAGTGAAAAAAAAACAAGAGACATGAGCAAGAGCTTTCATCTCCAACATTTCAGCCTCTCCGTGTGTAGGGAAAGAGAGAACCAGGGCACTCCATAGGGAAAACACATCCACTTACATTTTAATTTGCTCAAGGTAATTGGCTTAATTAATTCAGTCAATTGAACATACCATCCTCGATTCCATTGACATTTCTTGATATACCGCAACTGGAGTGTCATTGGCCCCTGCCTCCTCGAGCTCCTGCACCTGTTAATGAATTACGCATATTTAGGAGACACATTTTAGCATCCTGACAAAACATTTATAGCTCATAAGCAAATGAAGTGAGTTTAAGTCAAATTCTTACCCCGGTAAATGGGCTGGCAGAGCTCTCCAGAATGCAAATAAAGGCGAGCACGAGTGTCACTGCAACTGCAATGCTAAATGCCTTCATTTTTAGGTTGAGGTTAAATGGTTTAGTTATTAAATCCTTTGAAGATTAGACTTGATAAGTCTTCTTTCTCATCGGTGTCGGGCTGTGGAGAAGCACCACAATATCTCAAATGTCTTCTTCTTCTCCAGTGATGGTTGGTTTGATTGTCTGAGCAAGTGGATTTCTTCAGATCTTCTGTGACCCTGGTCAGCTGTTTAGAGTCCTTCCGCTGTCTGATGGTTGAGCATGACGATTGTGTTGTATTTATACAGTCTGGGGCTCAGTGTTGCCTCATCTTTCTGGGAGGTCCGGCCCATTTCTGTCAGCGGTTACCTAACTGCGCTGGGGAAGTTTTGACCTCCTCCTCTCCAAAGTGCTGCAACACTGGGGGGGGGGAGATCCTCTGAAATATCCTTCAATGTGGGCCCCACTGTCTGTTCGGAGATATCAAATCAACTATGAACTTTTAAATTAAATTACTTTCCGCTCACAGAACACGTAATCCCACACATGAACAAGCTGCTGCTATTGCTGGAAACCATTATTTTTTACAATATATGAGAGCAATGTGTATTCTGTATTGATGCAATGCTTCATACTTGCTGAGATTAAACCAAAAATGTAACTTTTTCCTGGAAAACAATGAGCTGGAGATTCCCAAAGCAAAGGCCAAGATTGCACGGGTCAATCTACTGCATGGTTGGCCGAGCTGCACTTGTTTCGACCCAGGAAATCCTTCACTTAGGAGAGGGAGCCGCTTTGGAATATCCATTGCTCAGTCTAAAGCAGGGGTGTCAAACTCAATTTCATCTCGGGCCACATTAGCATTATGGTTGCACTCAAAGGGCCGGTTGTAACTTTAAGACTATATAAATATACATTTATATATATTTAATATATAAAATAATGTATTATATTACATTATTGCCTCTGCATTGGATTATTATCGGATAGGATAATAACTTCATCATTAACTACGTCTGAGAGCAGAAGTCTAGGGCAAATAATTGCAAGTCTCTTCAGTGAGAATGTCACAAAATGATTTGAAAATAAAAGCCAAATTCTGTTAAAAAATTAACATTCTGAGAAAAAGTCACATTCTAAGGAGAAGGCATATTTTGAAAAAAAAAGAGTCAAATTCTGAGAAATAAGTCAAATTTGAGATGCATTAGGCGCTTTCACATCGGAGTACTTTTCCCAGGAATAGTTCCGATAGTTCCTGGGATTTTGCTTTCACACCAAAAAGATCTGGAACTAGAACCTAGTTCATGCAAACCTTTTCACCCCTTTTTAGTCCCTGCTAGAGAGTAGGTACTTTCCTGGGGAGAAAAAGGTTCCCATTTCTGATTGGCTTGGCGAATTGCAAACCACGCCTCGTAAAACTCAGAAAAGTTTTGTGAAGCCGCCATTTTATTTGCTCGCATTAGCATTATTAGCATTAGCATTAGCCCAGCGCACCAACGGAGAGAGACTAACTTATGGCAACACAAAATAAAACGTGGGAGCGGTGGAGTGACGAGGAGGTGTCGGCGCTTCTGGTGCTTCGGACTCCGGGTGGCAGTATACGCCGTGAAGTTGTTTGCGGCCTGCCAGTAAACCCAAAGCAGAAGAAGAAGAAGAAGTGACGTCAGCGGCTTCATTTGCGTAATCCTCCCTCAGGGACTTATTCCGGTGTGAACGCGATTTACTAGGACAGTTCCGGGACTAAAGAGTTTGGCGGGACTAAGTATAGGGAATTAAGTACGGCAAAGTACTTGGTGTGAAATTATTGTTATTGTGTTAGGGAATAATTCTCCTAGATATCCACCTTTTCGTCTGTTATCTCCCTTAAGGAAGGGGCTGCTTCAGCCATATGTTGTTGTTACCAGTTTATGACCGGGCAACTCTCGGTCACAAATGGTTTATTGTTGTGGGTACACTGGAACACTTCCTTCTTGGGGTTTGTGGACTCCAAGGTGTGAAATATTAGGTGAGGCCATAAGTGTCAAATGCAAGTAATTCAGTGTTCCCAGCTGTTTAGTCTATCTCCCCAAATATGTTGATTACTCTCTCTGAACTAGTTAAAAGGTCTATCGAGAGAGAGGCTCTTCAGAATTGACGTGTAGTCAGAACCTCTGACTCCTGATTTGTTTTGTGAATTCTCCGGCCAAAGCTCCTAAATAAACCATCAGTGTTTGACATCAAAGCTCCAGCTCTCCCCGTGTCTCCTTCCTGAGTCGGTGACTCCTCCTGCATTGCTACACAGAAGTTTCCCCCACAGTGGGACATGTACTGTAGTTTATGGGCAACGTGCTTCTGTAAATCGGCATGTAACCGTATAATAAACATATTATATTCTTTGCAAGCTCTTGTGGGGCCGCATAAAATGAAGTCACAGGCCGGATTTGGCCCCTGGGCCTTGAGTTTGACACCCCTGGTCTAAAGGATGTAATTATTACCTCTCAAATTGAATAATTATACCCTCAATTTTAACACATTCAGTTTTTGCATAATACACAGGAACCTGCAGTTGAACCAAATTAAATCCCTTTGAAAGCGGCGGAAAAGAAGCAAGGATTAAAATCCTCTGTTTGAGAGTCAAGGTGTTTCAATTTGCATTAGTTAAAGATGAATATAATGTGATCTGATGAGGTTTATTATGTCTGGACAGCGACGACTTGCATTGCTTCACGTGTATTACCCCACTAACAAAACAAATCTATTGTATATCATTACTTTATGTGCATGACAAAATGCTTTTTTGTTTTTCCATATTCCTTTAATAAATAACATACCACATGACAAATGACAGCTGCTTTTTTTAAATTAAATTACCATTAGTCATTTCCTGGCAAACCAATTGTTGAAACCGTAACAAATATTTCAGTGTGAAATGATAACAGTGTGGATTTAATTATAATGGCATTATAATAATAAACCAGATTGTTATCAATTGCATATAAATAAATAAATAAACTACACAATTTTAAGGACAATTTTTCCTCTTATCACTGAAGCAGCGATAAACACCTTTAGATTAATTATCCTGTCAGGGTAAGAAAACTATTCCACAATAACATAAGGCTGTGAATAAAATACAAAAATCAATAATGTTGGAAAAGAAATAACAAGGCAGAATAAAGGTACAAACTGATCAAATGTGGCCTGTGCATGCTGAGAAATTCAGAGGCCATTTGAATTCTCATTATACCTTCAGTGTCTTTTTCAAATTGCCTGTGCGGACTCAATAAGTATACAACATGTTGCGGGACCCCTGCGTCAGTCGGTCTCGTTCACTGATAACCCTGCTGCTTGCTTTGGGTGACCACAACATCAGTGTCAACAAATACAACCATGAATGGCTCCACATCGGTTGGAATCTACCCACAATTCTCTAGTCCACTATTAGAATCGGCACATAATGTCCACTCACATGTCGATGAACACATGTCATTTTGTTTTCAATGCTTCACTAGGCATGACTCAGCTAATGAGAAATCTAAATATGACACAGGTTGACTGGACCAGGACAAAAATATCAGATTCAATTTCAGTGTGAGTTCATTAGAGAAGAAACAAAATAGAAAACTTTAAATAAAAAGGTGCTAAACTGAACAAAAACAACATCTTTCAGATCTGGGTTTTCCAAGCATGCGTTTGGCCTGTTGTTCCTAAGCATGTGTCTCCTATCAGTCACTGCAGCTATCAGTAGGAATCTTCTGGCCAAACAAAGACAGGCACCAGCACGGCAGACAGATTCACCTCAGCATGGCGCCACTCTCCCTTTTTCTCCTGTTCGAGGGCATTGCCCCCTTTGTCCCCGTTTCATCATCGTCCTCTGTTCCTGCCCCCTTTCCCCCTTTCCCCCCCTCCTCCCGTCCCTACATATGGAGCTGCAAGACACTCCACACATTCTACTTATATCAGCTTGTCTGCTACCTAACCCAACACAACCCCACTCGCCACCAAAACACAGCCAGGGCGAGTGTTTACTCAAAACTAGGACATGGAAGAACCAGTGTTGGAAGAATTTGTAAACAAACATGAGAACTTGTAATAGTCATGGCCTCTGATCAGGTACTGCTCCTCAGTTCAACCAATGCAGTGTCGTTTTTCAGACCAAGGGGGCGGTATGGAGCAAGGTTGATGGGTTCTCGGAAGCTGACTGGAGACTTTGGGGAATAATTCCCCACTTTGAAGCAATACATTACTGGAAATTCCAACATTGTCAATATTAATTCCATTCAAGAAAAGGCGAAATATCTCCTTAAAAAATATAAAGAAGAAGTTTACACCAGATTGATATGGTACCTTTTCATAAAAACAATTACGCTAAGCACTTTACAAAAAGTGTCTAGACTAACACGGTCAAAAAAACTGAAAAACGTTTTCATATAAACATGTTAAGGCACTTAACTCTAATGTTTCTGTTTCAAGTCGGGGAGGCGCCACTTCATTACCCGTCTCTGTCGAAATGGCACCAAAATGCCCCCAAAACATATAAAGAGAGAAAAACAAATCAGGAAAACATCGCATGGCAAAATACTTGCTCAATATTCCTTAAAAAAATTAAATAGGTGACTGGAAATGTGTCCATGCAGATTTGTATCATAAGATCTTTGAAACAAATCATAGTTAGAAACAAACTGATAGCTTTGTAAATAATGAGCTGAAGTCCAGTGTTTTTCATTAGATTTTGGCTGCTATACATGATGTTTTACTGAGTTAAAATGTTAAACCATGAGGATAACACTTTTGTCATTGTTCGGCGGTCCTTAATAAAAACTCAATTGTCAGCAGAATCTGTGATTTGTTTTTGTGTTTTACCCTGCGATTACTTTCAAAACTACACTCCCCATTGTTTCTTCTTATTTATGAACTGTGTGCTACCAAACTCCAAGTCAAACATGTCATTCAACTTGTGTAATTTTTGTGTCAGGTGTTTCAAAAATAATGTAGAATCCAACACGATGTCTGCTCAAAAAACACAAAATAAAAATGTCTTGACAGCAACAGAAAAGATACCTTTGTGCTGATACTACTACTATGAGCGAGACAGGTGCTGTGTAGTTATTAATGTAGGCCCAAGAAAGATGAAAGGTATACAATGTACGAGAAGCATTGTATGTCAGATGGAATAAGACTCTTTCTGCCAGCCCCTTTTCGACAAATAACAACCTCCGAGAGAGCGAATGTGAAACAGGCAGAGGCATCGGACAAGTAGCCCCAAAAGCACAAAGGTAAGAAAAGCCTGCAGGACATGCATCTGTGGT